TTTTATAGGAAGTGAAGACAATTTGAATCAGTTATGACCATATGAAAAAGGAAAAAGAGTATGAAATTTGAAGCTACTAAAAACCTCCAAACCTTACATTTTGCCAAATTACAGTGGAGTGTTTGTGTGTGTGTGTGTGTGTGTGTGTGTGTGTGTGTGTGTGTTTCTGCATCATTTTCCTTGTATTCAGAATAGCACACAGAACTTTTGAGAATTCTAGAGCCTTCTATAAGGTCACACTAGTAGTAAATAGCTGAGCCAGAAAATGCTACCAGAAAATCCAGAAACTCTTACATGGAAACAAATTTCTTAAGTCATAGCACAGGAGAGTTCCATGAACTTGACCATTCATCTAGTAGATTGAGCTCACCTCCTCTGTTATTCTCTCTTTTAATGATGATTCCCTTGTCATTTAAAATGAGGTTGACCATTTATCCCATAAAGCTTTGGGGAAAAACAAATTAGTGAAATAAAAGCAAGTAAGAAGTCCTCTATAAATAAGAATGTCAAGACCCTTTCCACCTGTCCTCTGCTCTCTTCCTATCCTGATGATAACAAAGTTTCTCCTATATGCTGACATTTTGTTTTCAGAAAATAATTATTGAGCGCCCTTGATTGTCAGATGGCTCCACTATCTATTTTCTGACTAAGTGGATTGCATAAGAGAAGCTGTATCAAGGCCAGGTGACCATTTTTTTTCTTTCCATAGCTGCCCTTCAACATTTAATTGGCTTATTCATAATAGCCTTATTCAGCAAATCATCTCATTAAGATACCTAGGGGAGCGTTTTGCAACTAGATTGTCTTGAATTGCTCCCTAGGCATTTAAAGTCTGTAAATTAGGCACTCTACAAATGGCATAATTGAGATTTTGATGCCTAAGGGAGCATTTGGTAACACCCACTTTAATTTTTTTCCTATTCCCTAGGAATAGCAATTAGGAGATTAAAAAGCCTTGGTGTCTAATGTTGAATGGGAAATAAAATTTATTTAAATTGGGGAAAATATTAAAACTTTCTCTGGTTCCTAACACCATCAGTTCAAACTATCTAAAATGATGAGGGGCTGCCAAAACTGGTTTTGCTCAGTGAATAGAGCTTCAGCCTGCAGACTGAAAGGTCCCAGGTTTGATTGAAGTCAAGGGCATGTACCTTGGTTGCGGGCACATCCCCAGCAGGGGGTGTGCAAGAGGCAGCTGATAGGTAATTCTCTCCCATCGATGTTTCTAACTCTCTATCCCTCTCTCTTCCTCTCTGTAAAAATTCAATAAAAATATATTTTAAAATAAATAAATAAAAATAAATAAAATGATGAGAGGCTTTTAATGTATCATACTGTGAGATTTAACGATTAAGACTTAAATGATGGGTAATTCAGAAGAGATTTTCTATGTGTCTTGTGCTTATCAGGAAATTTCACCTCAAATGATCAGTTCTCGCCCTGTGTGGCCAGTGGTTGAGCATTAATCTATGGACCAAAAGGTCACGGTTCCATTACTGGTCAGGTCACATGCCCAGGTTGTGGGCTCAATCGCTATTATGGGCATGCAGGAGGCAGCCAATCAGTGATTCTCTCTCATTATTGATGTTTCTCTCTCTCGCTTCCTTTTCATTCTTCTCTGAAATCAATAAAAACATATATAAAAAAAGATCAGTTCTCAGAAACATTACTTATGGAGGATTACCAAAAGGAGAGAAGGCCTATCCATCCCTCTGAAGAATAAATTCTATCCTGGTGTAACCCAGGTCTCAGCTGTGGCTTATAGTTTTTTTTACTCTTTCACCCACATTTCCCCTCAGATTCAAAGCAAAACTCAACTCTGAACATACAGAAATATTTGCTCTCACCCAGAACTGCAGTTACATAGAGTTTACTGAAGTATGAGGGAGTGGAACAGTCTGAAGTGGCAGCTCTCCACGTCTTTTCTGTAGCCCTTGTCGTTATCTAACCCTTTGTTCTTCCTGCTCCTCATCCCCCCTTCCTGTAACTATGTATATACAATATATAACATATCAAATAATTGCATGCTATATATATTTTTGTGCTTATTTATATGCTATACTAAAGACCTGGTGCACGAAATTCGTGCATGGGGGTGTGTGTCCCTCAGTCCAACCTGGACCTTCTCCAATATGGGACATCTCTCTCACAATCTGGGACAGATGGCTCCCAACTGCTCACCTTCCTGCTTTCCTGATTGCCCCTAACTGCTTCTGCCTGCCAGCCTGATCACCCCCTAACCACTCCCCTACCAGCCTGATTGATACCTAACTGCTCCCCTGCCAGCCTGATTGCCCTTAACTGACTTCACCTGCTGGCCTGGGTCTCCCCCAACTTCCCTTCCCTGCAGGCCCGGTCACCCCCAACTTCCCTCCTCTGCCAGCCTGGTCACCCCAACTGTCCTCCCTTGCAGGCTTCGTCCCTACCAATAGCCCTCTCTTGCCGGCCATCTTGTGGTGGCCATCTTGTGTTCACATAAGGGCAGCCATCTTTGACCACATGGGGGAAGCTATATTGTGTGTTGGAGTGCCAGTCAATTTGCATATGACTCCTTTATTATATAGGATATTCTTATGTCTATATAATATATTATTTAGTCTATTATCTAAAATTTTTGTATGGAACATTTTTTAAGCTTTAGTATTTTGGTCAACAGCTATGAAAATTTTTCAACATTTACTTTAAAAAGGCAATATAGTCTTGGTTTTTACATCTCCCAGTGGTCGTGCATCCTTCAGAGATTTTCTAGCATTGTGCTTATTCTCAGATCTAACCCTCTGGGAAGGATTCACATCTTCTTTTCATTAATTAGCTTAGGACACATGAAAAGAACAACACTGGATGTGGAGTTTATTCTGCTAAGCATATACACCAGTCAGAGAAAGACAAATACCATATGACCGCACTTACATGTGGAATCTAATGAGCAAAATAAACTTGCAAATGAAATAGAACCAGAAGTAGAGATACGAAGGTCAGAGGGAAAGGGTTGGGGGCTGTCTAAAAAAAGACATGGATAGTCCATGGACATAGACAGCAGTGTGGTGAAGGCCAGGGGAGGAAGTGGTGGAGCTGGGTGAAGGTGGGAAATGGGGGGAAAATAGGGGAATTTGTAACAGTGTCAATAACAACAAAATAACAGTGCTGGACTTTATTTCTAATAAGGGAGACATCTCTTCCTTCTGTGGAGACATTCTGGGCTCTTGCACTCTATCAGCTTTTTGATGCATGCTTTCCAAAGCACCTTCTGGATTTTCAAAGAATTTACTTTTTCTATTCTGGTTTGTAAAGTCCAAGATGAGGCTTTGCAAATGTCTCAGTCACTATTGTGTTCAGAGGTCTAGAACAGCCTAATACTCTCTAGAAGCTGAAAGAATAATTGATGAAGAAAGGGGATATTGGGGAAATGGTAGCTGTTTCGTATATCTTTCCTATATCTAGGTTCCTTCCTTAACTTGACTAATCATTTCATGATTTAGGCAAGTTAAAATTTCTGGACCAAATTGTTTCAGTTTTCCAATAGATTTTTCAGGAACAGCCCATGGACACAAACAACAGTGTGTTGAAGGCCATGGGAGCAGACCTTATAACACCTTATTGGACAATGCCCAGCCTAACAAATTCATATGTTTGTAAGTTTCAGAAATCAAGGGAAATGCCTCCTGTTAATAGGATAACTTTAAATACTCATCTGAAACCCATGGCTTCATTGGCAGTGTTAAAATCTTCAGGTTTAGAAAAAAATAACAAAAACAAATTCAAAGACTTTCCTTTATAATAAAAGTGCACATAACAAAAAATAATTAGGTAGGGGAAAAATAATAGTATGGTATCAAAACTACAATGTATGCTCATCTTCTTTTGAAGGACACTTTATGTTGATAGTACCACCAATTGAATGCTATCATGAATCGTACCTCCAGAATTTTATTTTACACAATAACTTTTCTATTTTAAACATAAATGCAAAACACCATTATGCCCTATAGTCCAAAAACATTGTAAAATATTAGCTCAACATAAAGTAATGCTTAGCTGAGCTCTAAGGTTAAAAAGATTGAACTATCTATTTATCTCTATGACCAGGCTACAATTTATCTATAATTAGCCTTCTGGGAAATTGAGATTTGCAATTGCAGTGAAAAATTATTAGATACATGACTCCACAGAGAATACTATTTCATTTCCATATAGTTATTATGGAAATAGTTTTTCCTTAAAAATAGCTGTCATTTATTAAGTAATTAGGAAACCTAAGGTCTCGGAATACACAATTTAATCGCTTGTTCTCATTGCTCCCTCACGCAAGCCCACAGGGCAGCTGCAATCATTGCGTCTGTAATAGAGACAGGGAAACAGGGCAGAGGGGTGGAGGAAGCTGTCTGTGGGTAAATGGTTAATAGCATGGCTGAATGTTCACACTAGTTAAGAGTGTTTCATTCAAAAACTGTTTTTCTATGTTAATTGCAGTATTATTTTAGTAAAATGTAATTCAAATATTATATAGTTTAAAACATTTATTTCAGAAAAGAGATAGGATTTAAGTGTTGCATTCAAGTATGAGATGATATTTATTTTTATTTTTATGCTACGAACCTCTTTAAAGATAAAAATTTTCTTACATGTTGTTTTATTGTAAATCTAAAATACCGCACATACAAAGTAAACAATAGCCTCTGGCAATTACTTTAATGGATGATTATTTATAATGAACAAAGTGGACAAATAGCAAACTGATAGATGCGATATTTTTTTAAAAATCTTGATGAAAGTAAATCATCACTTGCTAATTATGAAATCGTCAGTATTTGGCTGATATATAAACTTAACATTTTTATGGAAAAGTCTTACAACTTACTTTATTGATGATAGCAACTTAATTTATTACCATGGATGAGAAAATTTATTTTCTTGATATTAATAAGACCACAAGATAATTTTTTTTAAATTTTCAACTTTCGTGTGGGTATTTACAAAACCAACTTTTATTGCCTTTACAGAAAGATAAAGAAGACCAGTGGCTAGAGAAAAAAGTGCAGGGAAACAAAGACCATATTATTTTGGAGCATCTACAGTGGACAATGGGGTATGAGGTTCAAATTACAGCTGCCAACAGATTGGGATATTCTGAACCAACAGTCTATGAGTTCAGCATGCCGCCAAAGCCCAACATTATTAAAGGTAAGCAAAACGATCTGCTTTCTCAGGCTGAAAATCAACATGATATCATCTTGACAATCCCTCTGGGTAGATTCTTATTGGAAACACAGTTTCATAACAAGTACAAATTGTAAGTTCCATTAATGATTAGTATGACAAGTCTTACTCAAGATTTCTCAGTCACTCTTGCTATGGTGATTTGGTTAATTTATAAGTATATTTTGGTAACTTTGATGGTTAAAGAGGTGAAGGAAGAATGAGCAGAGGGCAAGGATGGATGCTCAAAGTGACTGTTGGATACAACCGGAAACATTTCTGTTAGATCAGAAACTTGGCAAAGGACACAGCTTCTCTGCCAGATACGTGGAGTCTAGTCCTCCACTTCTGGGAATATGTGGCCAAAAATAATGACTACCTCTTCCAAGCCTGGCTAAGCAGGTTGATTTTGGAAACATAAACTCAATTACACAGTGAAGCAGAAGCACCCACAGATATAGTCCCAGAAAGCAATGTGACTAGTGTTTCAAGGAGACACACAACATGGCAGAACACTGTGCATAGCATTATGTTAGGTAGCATTGCTTATGACTCCCCGTGCCAATGCTGTCATGCTGTCATCAAAATCCATAGCGGGGATATGAAAATATTTCTCAGCTACATGAGATATAAAGATGCAAGATTTCTTTTTGACTTGATTTGCAGACATGTTTAACTGTTAGTGAGTTCTCATATTGGATTTATTTTAATACATATTGCTCCTTTAAATATCATATTTAATATTTACTAGTAATCTTCACACATATGTATAAACATATGCATTCTTTATATATATATACATAGAGAGAGAGCTGAGAGCAGCATATTCATTGGCATGGCTTAATTAAGTCATATCATAATAGAGTTTCAGTATTGTTACATAACACTTTAGAGACTGGAAAAAAATAAAATGTGTCAGTTCAGTTATGCTACTTAACCATCTTCCCTCTTATAATTTTAAATTGATATCAATCTCATTATTACAATTTTGTGATGTATATCAGCTTTGTAAAGCTGAGAGCAGCATTATATAATTAATCTTTCTATTAAAATGTAATTACTATTAAATGCTTAAAATAATTGATAACTTTGTAATGTTAGTATTAATTAATAAGTGCTTCCTATTGTAATTTGAAATTAGAATGCTGGGAGCATCAGAAATTATATGGGTATCTCATATTGTAATGATATTTTTAAAGTATTTCTGCATGTGTTATCTCATTTTAATCTTAGTTTAACAATGAAGAATTATCTTTATTTTACCAAAATAATTTGAAGAAGTTAAAGGATCTGTTCAAAGTCAGAGCTACTTTAAGTCACTGACAAATCTAATGCCCTTATAAATGGTTCACATAAATAAGAAGAAGGGTTGAATGTAATGCCAAGGTCATTGCCCCTGTGAGTTTGAAACATCAATAACGGTCTCTAAAATTATAATTTATTATGTTACTTGTAATTGTTCTCTATGCAGAATCAAGAATCTGATATAAATGTGATTCTTAATGTGAGTCAGCAAAGGGAGGAATATACTCCATCCTCCCAAATCTTTAATGTAGCTCATATGTTTAAAGGAAATACTTATTTTTATCAGGGTAAAAATTAATGTTTTATGATGGAGAAGTTAACATTTTTATAATAATTTATAGATAAAACACAGACTGTAAATTTATCAATTTCAGGCAGGGTACTTTATGTTATACTCCCAGAGACCCTGCTATTTTCATTTAAAAAATAATTAATGAAAATTAACATTAGGTATAGACGAAATGGTAGTTAATAAATAAAGTGTATATAAAGGCACAAAAATAGGTAAGGTATTCTATGATACATTTACTATAAAAGCACTTTTTGTGTGTTTGGTTCAATTTCAAAGAATCTTCTTGTGGGCAGTACCAACAAGGAAAATGGACAGAATTCTTATTTATAGTTTCAATTTTGCTCTTGTCACTGAACTTTCTTGATATGCATTTTTTCATATTTCAGCTAGTTTCTTCTGGTTCTGCAATGTTAAGATTCATTGATTCATTGATTCATTCCAATTATTTAATGGGGTCTTGCTTTGTAACAAATACTGAGATGAGTATAGAAGAATAATCTGTAAAGACAGAACTGGCCCTGCCTACAAAGGCTTTACAATCTAGTAGGGAAGAAAGATATTAAACAAAATTTAGAATATCCACCAAGTACAACTAAGAGTTGTACTGATGCAGTGTGATACCTTGAGTGGGTTTGACAAGGGCATCTGCAGATAGGATGGGGTTAGGGAAAGGTTCCCTTAGAAAATGCTTTCCAAAAAAACTCTTGTAGAGAATAAAGTTTCCAGGGAAAGTGTCTTATATGGAAGAAATCTTCAAGAGAAGGAAGAAATTGATCTGCTTTAGGAACTGGAAAAGGCATGGCAGGAGGGGAATCTGAAGGTGTGTGAATAAAGATAAGGAAAGAGAAGAGCCTACCATTCAGGAAGTCCTAGGTTTTCTATAACCATATAAATTATTTTAAAATAAATCCGAAAACCAGTAAGAAAGCACAGGTGTTATAATAAAATAATTAGATTTGTTACTCTACTGAAATACTTAGTGATAGATATTATCCATAAAAATGTTTAAAGTTAGAATAGTTTTAGAGAAAGAATTTACCCTTATTGTATTTACACATAAGTGATAGCCCCCATTCATTTTATTGAAATGTATGTCAGACTGGAACTGCACACTTATAGTAGGATTGCCAAATATTATAGCAAATAAATTAAGTAGAAAAACATATGGAAGGAAAAGAGAAATGGGCTAAATTTCTTTTTCTTTTCAAATTTAATATAAGATAGTTCAATTGCTCATTTTAATTCAATAGTCAAGTAACTTTTACAAGGCTTGTCCAATGTATAACTGATTATTAAATAATGTAAACTTATTTACTAAAGAATGTTGGAGAAAGAATTGAATTCATTTTTATCTGCAAAATTTAAAAAAAGAAATTACTTGAAATAGGAAAGTATATGAATAGATAGGCATTATAAACAGATTAATCTTGCTCATCTGGGTAAAAGCAATATAAGGTTGAACAGCTTGAAAAATAAAAGTAATACTTGTAGAAAAATAAAAGTAATAGGAGTAGAAAAATAAAACAACGGATAAATCCCAGACATATTATAGATATAGACTAATCTTGCTTGTGTCACAAATCAGCTTCGTATGTACTGCTGATTTCTTAGTGTATTGCTTGGGCAATTGGGCCATTCTTGGTATCATTTTCTCAGGACAAAGAATTTTGGATTTGGAGGATGAAGATTAACATAAAATCAGCTTGGCATTCCTTAAGTTTTCACTGTCAAGTAGTAGTTAGCTGTGTGTGTATGGAGATGAAAAGTTCCATGCTTTGGAAACATACTACAATGCTGTCAACTTTACCAGGGGATGGTATCTGAAGTCTGGGTAAGGTGCAAACCAAACATGTAATACCCATGAAAAGGAATTGGTGTCTGTGATTCTCATAGATGTTTCCCCTGGCACAGCGTATATGTTCAAGGAGCGCCTCTTGAGATTCTGAAGTGCAGATGGTTAAGAACTGCATCCTCAGAAACTGTAATATTATACAGGAAGTGTTAATGACAGGACTGCTCTTCCCGTGAGACTAAGATAGATTTCCTGCAATGACACAAGACTAGTATCCTGGAAGTTAACTGAGAGTCATATTTCAAGAAGAAAAGATATAAATCACATTTGACAATTCAAATTCCGCTGAGGTCAATTCAAGTTAATCAATAAAATATGAATTGCCCTTATCACATCCAGCTTTGCTGAAGACATTGGGAGAAAAATTAAGGAGGACTAATCTTAGGATTGTGTGTGAGGTTTGAACATGGGGACTCCATATGTATTTAGTGCTTTCCGGAAGTGTTGCTATGAAGATAAGCAGGGAAAATAACAACAGTCCTGTTATAAGAACTTTTACGATGAAAAAAATATATATAACACAAAAAAATAGAACATGTCTCACAGCTGAGAAACAGACAGTGCCATCCAGAAGTCAGACACACAGATGTACAGACAAAGATATCTGAAAAGGTAGGAGATAGAATCCATCTCCTCTCAACTTTGCAGCTGACACAAAGCCATAGCAGCTTAATGGAAATTGGGGGGGAAATAAAATTTTTATTTTTTCTATAAAAATGTCTCAAATTAATGTCTAATGTACCATGACTGAATCCACTGACTGCTAAGGGATCATGGAAAGCCTCATCAAAGACATGTCCTTACAGTGCAAGAATTGTTTGATTTTGCTCTAGAGGATTTCTTGGAGCAACGTTAAAGTTTGTGATGAATTACAGTGAATTTGGGAGTCTTTACACCCAAAATATTCTAGAGAGTTAAAATTATGTATTGTCAAAATAAGGGAAAAATATCTTTATATACTTCCATATAATTACTCTTGTACTATATATGATTTATTATATTATATTATATTAAGTAAATATGCTAAATGTATACCTATATGTAAAATAAGTTATCTATAATGAACTAACAGTTCTTGAGCCTTTTTATTTAATGTTACACAATATGGATTTCAGAAGTTAACTTAGATTTTTTTTTTTACTTCTATTGTTTTGTTTTGATTATATAGCTTGCATTGTAGACTGTCCAAATGAAGATGGGAGGTGGTTTGGGGGAATGGGTGAAAAAGATGAAGGGATTAAGAAGTACAAATTGGTTGTTACAGGATAGTCACAAGATGTAAAGTACAGCATAGGGGATATAGTCAATAATATTCTTAGACCAATATATGGTGCCATATTGGGTACAAGATTTATTAGGATAGTCACTAGTAATATGTTTATTAATGGGATATATACCTCAAACTAATATAATGGTGTATATGAACTGTAATTGAAAAATAAAAAAAATATTTAAAACTTTAAAAAACTTTATTTATCTGCATTCAGATATATTTAACTTTTTTTAAGCAACAGACTAAATCTGGAATACATTTAT